AAAAAAACACTATCACGACTTCTTTCGGTCTGTGTGAGTTCCTACGAAGGCCATTTGGATTAGGAATGCTACTTAATCTTTTCAAACGATTATCGATAGCATAAGACGAGACTTAAATTTTGTTCACATCTATATTGATTAACTGTAAATCGCATCATCAAACATAGATGAACATTACAACACCTAACACTCATATTCCAACGCCTTTCGGATAATGGAATAATCGTCAACCCGGACAAGTGTGAACTGGGTAAACCAGAAATAAAATTCCTGGGTCACATTATTAAGCAAGAGGGTATTTTACCTTGTGAGGAAAAAGAACGTGAAATAATGGAATATACCGTACCGTCTACTCTCAAAGAACTGAAGGAATTTCTCTGTTTGGTTAACTTCTACCGACGTTTCATCCCGAGCGCGACAGAACGGTTACGATCATTAACCGACCTACTTCGCGTTAATCCAATCAAATTGGAATTGAACGATACCGCGCTTACTGTATTTTTAGAGATCAAAACGGCTCTGATTCGAGTCACACTTTTCTCTCATTCTGACTCATCAATCACGCTTGGTATAGAGGTTGATGCATCGGATTACACTACAGGAGCCGTTATGCAACAGAACATCTCCGGAAGTATGCAACCTCTCGAATTTTTCTCACGACGCCTCACTCACATATGGACGAAATACAGCGCTTTTGGTTGAGAGCTGCTAGCAGCCTACTGTGCCATCGAACATTTACGGCACACGGTAGAAGGTCGTGATTTCATTTTGTTCACCGACCATAAGCTTTTCAAGTATGCTTTACATAACAAGTCTGGCCGCTACTCACCACGAGAGTGCAGACATTTGGACTATATCTCTCAGTTCACGACAGACCTTCGTCACGTTAAAGGCTAGTCGAAATATGTCGTCGATGCTCTGTCACGTATCCAAGTGAATGCACTTAATTTACCGGTGCTTGATCTTCCCGCTATGGCCGCCGCCCAAGCGAGCGATCTTTCCTGTACGGAAGCACAACATTCTACACCCATTCAGTGCCAGAATTTACCCCTAGCTACTAGCTCAGATGTTGCATTGTGTCATACTTCCACAGGTTTCCCCCGACCCATCATACCCTCTGCTTATCGTCGTCCCGTCCTCGATATTCTGCATGGACTATCTCATCCAGGTATCTCAGCTACATTACGCCTCATCGCTACACGATACGTCTGGCCGTCCATGAATAAAGATGTTCTTATGTGGATACAGCAATATTTATAATGTTGACGATCAAAAGTGCACATGCACGTAGCTGCCCCCATTGGTACGTTCGCTACACCTGATACTCGTTTTGATCACCTTCATATAGACATAGTGGGACCATTACCACCATCGCATGGGTATGATCACATACTCACGTGCATCGATCGTTTCACAAGATGGCACGAAGCTCTTATGGCGGAGACAGTTGCTCACTACTTCGTAGAACGATAGACAGCGCTGTACGGTTACCCCTTGACTGTCACGAATGACCGAGGACAACAATTCGAGTCCGCATTATTTTCCTCACTGCCCCGGCTGCTTGATACGGAACGCAAACGCACTACAGCCTACACCCAGCATCAAGTGGTTTAGTTGAACGGTTTATTCGCCAACTTAAAAGTGCTTTCGAGTTCACGAAAACATAAATGGGTACGAAACCTTACCACTCGTCCTCTTAGGTCTCAGAACGAGCTCAAAGGCAGATATTTCGTGCCTCTTGGTAACCCTCGTGTTATTAATAGAAGAAACCAGACTGGTAGAGAATAGGTCTTCATTTTTGGTCTTCGTGCAGTCACAGTGGAGCGTGGGATTCCTTATTCAGACAAACAAAAAATCTCAACATTCAATATAAGATAATTAGAAATATAACGCCTATACAAGACAAAGAAGTGAATGAATATTTGAACTATGCTGATTTGACATATGCTTAGTCGCTCGAGGTCAACCCTTAACCGATCGACCTAAGCTGTTACATTAGCCTCCCCTTAGAATGGACTTCCGCCGCTTAACTTGTGTACGGCACGACATTGCGTCTGCCTGAGGAATTTTTTTCAAACCACGGAGCAGTAACGATTTTGTTAAATCAAACTACGTCCATCGACTGTCTGAATTCATGCAAACACCGCCTTCTGTGTCGACTCGAATACAACATCGACAGGTCGCTTCCGCTCGAGAGTTATTTGCCTGTTCATACGTTATCATACGAGTAGATTCCGTACGAAAACCTTTACAACAGCCTTGCGAAGGACCTTTTTCACGCGATTTCTCGTCACGAAAAGATCCTCAAGGTTGATCGACATGGGTGCGTCGAGATAGTCGACGTCGATCGTCTCAAGCCAGCACCCGTTGATGGCAGTACCCTGCCTGATAAGTCGGGACAACGTGCTAGAACAATCAAACCTACTAGCGGGATCTCTACGTCTACTTCAAATTTTCGCGCTAGATGAATCAGAGACCTCATTCCCACGTCCCGGTCAACAGCACGTGTCATATGCACCATCTACAGATGAGACTTTAGTCTGAGATCCAGATCAGCAGACCACGCCGCCAATGACTTTGGGTGAGATTGCAGACTCACGAGGTACGAACGAGACTCTCGTCTCGTCGAGTACGCCTGCCCGTACGCTTTCGCGAATAACCTCTCAATCAACAACAGACACAGTATGGTAATTTATCCGTATACTACACGCATGCTACACCTCTTCTCTTTTTTGATAATGTTTGTATCCTGGGCCCATGGCTTCGACCATCGCTTGTCTGGTACCGTAGACTTCAGTCAACCTCAGTGAAAGCTAGACTGATCACCCGCGCTCTTGTCGACGCATCCATTCGATATTCTGGTTTCGAATTTGCCGAACATAAGTTTGGTCCCGAACATGGTTGTTATGGTCGCTCCTAGTTTGCTGACCCAATGTGGTTCCTTCCTATGTCTGCAGTGTTTTCAAACCAGGAACCCTAAGAATGCAATTTTCATATCCTAGATAAAAACAATCCTGATATGGCACGCCAACTCAAGCAACTAACACAGCACACTTCTCCTGTTACGGTTTTACGTAAAAGACACCCAGTGGTAAGTCGAGGATTAATGATTACTTCTAGCTCTGACAACAATTTCGTTCTACAATCGCACGTTTGCCGATTAGTCCGACAAACGAAACCGCTTCGTATTGAAACTTCAAACTATTTCTAGCGAAGTGCTTCAGTAAATACCTACTTTTACCAATGGAACGGGTTTGGTATAATGGAAACAATTATTATTATAAACAATTGTACCGGTGATTGTTTTACTGTACCTGTATGTTTAACTGTACTAAAAGCATACATTCTTATGTTGACTGTGACCGTTCACGTCCTAGGTTTCTCTCAGTAGTTCCACCTGTACTCTTTCACACAATCTTGGCAAACTGTCAATACCAAGAGATAACAAAAAAATAAATTTTACTGAAACCTTTAATTTCCTTTTGATATTTGACCTACAGAGGGATCTAACGCAGCAACAAGTACGTAGTTTAAATATATAATGGTGAACATAGAAAACCGCGACTCGATGCCGCGCTAAACCTTTACACACTGTATGCAAAACATCTGACCTATTTCTCATAATGAAACATGGGTTCAGGTCTATGATATTCTTGTCACAACTAAAACATCTATCATCACACTATCAGTCTGTACTTTTTACTTATCATGTTTATTTAGATAATCTATTCCACTGTTATTACTGACTGATAAACTTCTTTGAATGGTTTAATAATTTCATAAATGCATATAAATAATATTGTATATTAGAGTAGAGCCTAATGAGGATCTAATTGGAAACGATAATGTTCGGTCATATATGTTCTAATTTACAACTGGATGTATCAAATATAAACGATATTTTGGCAGTTAATGACATATACGTAAATTCTGGAAGAAATATACTCAACAACTGCAATGAAGTAAAAAGATAGAAATGCTATGCTTTAAGAATATTTGATTGGATGAAACACAGATATTGCATAACCATACGTGGTCTTGGAGATTCTAAACATGATAACAGACTTCAGAGAAAGTATATGAATAAGGCTGTGGGACTACAAAATATTTCATTACATACTATTTAGACCATACTAAACGGCATGTACTCAGGGTAATGTACTGTAACTGATAATCAAAACTAATAAATTCGCTTGCGATAGATAAAGACCAAAATTATTAAGTCTAATAAATCTGGCATGCCAATATCTACGTGTACCTCATTCGTTCGTATTGATAATATTTGTGAAGGAATTTGATGCATGTAGATGAGGGTTGATATTGAAAAAAACATACATAATTAAGTTGTAGTGAGAAATAAATGCCGAAAATCAATAGCTCCGTATGTCTTCGACATTTTATGCTGACCATATTTTCTTTGATGGATGCACCCAGCTGAAGGTGCTCGGTTACGCGTTCACACCAGATCACGATTTAGAGCGTCGTTCTCAACTTCTAAAACAGCTAGCCGGTTGAGATCAGTCACTTCTCGATATAATGATAGCCTATCAAATACATCTTCGGACATTTTCGCTTCCCACTTCTGATTTCAGTGGGGTGAGCATGTTTCATTTAGATGGCGCGTTACTGGTTAAGGTATTGTCAAACTACAAATACATGTGGAATCTTCAGTGGTGAGCCCAACGTAATCTGGTACAACTGTTTGTAAACTGTGAGTCTGTTCCTTTTCTCAACTTTATATATCACCTCTTTACTTTAAATTTTATATACTGTGATTTTCTCGTATTTTTGGATATTTCCCCTTCGTTCATTCCTACACTTTTTATTCATCATAACTGAACAGACTCTTAGGTTACTTAAAATCAACACTCTTACACGACTCTCATTCCAGTTAATTTTATTATGGCCCGACAACATCGAAGCCTGGTTCTGCTACACAGAGACTGACTTCTACGAGCACGGCTTGATCGATCAACGTGCACAATTCCTTGCAGTAATAAAGGCACTACCGCGCAACTTCAACAAATACGCCACCTCTAGTGTGTTTGATAGTGGTGGTCGGTCTATTCAGAAACGCGGGATCTAACTGACTGACAAAGGTTAGATCAACTCCTTAATAGCATCGATCTTCACTATGGCTGAACAACGGACATTTTGTCACTAATGGGCGAGGTAATTGGTAAAAGGACCTTCGACAATGACCTGTCCAGGCAACTTTTCTTGTCTAAGCTTCCACAACAGGTGCAGGAAGTGCTGGATGCATATGCTTACCGTATTACCGACGGTAATCTACCACAATCACAGAACATATGTATGATAAGAACGACCTACCTTCCATTATCTCCCAAACAGAAACTTCATCCCGAGCTACCAACTTTGGGGAAATTTCGTGGAAACTCTCGAATTCAAATGACCCTGACCATGGTTAAAAGGAAATATTGGGGAATTTCCCCAGGTCTGGGGAAATTTTGTGGTTTTTGTGCCATTTCCCCAAAATTGGTAGCTTGGGATCAAGTGAACAACATTTTCTTTGGAAGGCAAAAGTCGTGTGTCGTCTTTAACACTTTTTGGTTGCACATGTGGATGCCGAAACAGATGAATTTGTTTGCTTTGGTTCCATGCTGGACAGACCATTTTGTAAAGACGTAAGATTCTTAGTTACACCTAAGTGTATTAAGTGATGTGACGGGAATACTTTCGACATATCTGTAGGCAGGTTTTCGAAAGTGCTCCTAGCACGATGAATAATACCTTGGTACTGACTGCGAAATGTTAAACAACGTTCTCCATCGGGGTTATTGCCTATAACTTCAAACTTGTAATAGTGTTAGGTGTGTCGTCGGACATAATACGACGACAGGTTATAATGAATATGGAGTTCCATACACGTCGTATTGAGTACATCTGGTAAACAAGGCGTGATACTCAGGTTTCATGAGTATCACTAAATTAGGCGAAACAGTATTAATACTACCGGTATGTTTATTGGATAGAAGACCAACGTTCTACTCTTGACGAAAGTTGAACTGGAACATAAAAAGTAAGGTAATATCTATCTCCTAATTGTAAGCAATGTGAAAAATTAAATTGTTCCTGGAAAATATATGTATCTTTGTTTCGGTTAAACGTGTAACATTACTCATTTGTGCGTCGATTATTTTTCTGTGGCGATTCGTAAGCACAAGGTGGGTTGTTGCGAGTGCTAACTTTATAAAGGACTGCTTCGACATTGCGAATAATATTTAGTCTTGGGTTCTTATATTTACTTTTAACACTTGTTTGCTTGGTTGTTCATTGTAGGGCAATTTCAAAAGTCACGCTTGTTACTGGTTTTTGTTATAAAGTTGTGCGACAGAGTACATTTTTACATAGAAAATAAAATGCGACTAATTAAATTTCCAGGTCATTACTGTTATTTGAGGATTCGGATTTACTTTATACACCAAACCAATTTTTCATTATAATTAGATGAATCAACGTGCTCTAATATCCTTCATCTTTCAGGTCTCGTCTTTATGAAAATTTCTACAGAAAGCTTAGTTTTAACATCTGGAGCATACCGTCATCATGATGGAGAATGGAAATCAACTTCCGAGTTCAATCCAAGTGATTGCTTAGTTTTTGCAGATTGGCACTGTTCACTATTCTCACATGGTAACTTCGACTCCAACTTTTAATTACGATGTAGATTTTCCAGCGTCTTATTGTTTGGTCGGGTTGCTACAGGAAAAACACCTAAACTTTACAGCTCTGTCCATGGGATCGAATGATTCGTGGCTCTTTATCGCAACACCTGAATCCATCATCGTAATTGAAAAGAATCACGGGAATAGCGTCTCTGCTGATATGTCTGTTGTTGAAGTAGCTTCAGATGGTCATAATGTATATTGTGTGAAGGGTAGGTGTGATTTTATCCTTGCAGTATATTTCATTGGTAGACGAAACTGTTATCTTACTAAAAGTTTGTAATTTTGGGAACATTATTTCAGTTGATCGCCCACTTAGTTTAACAATCAAAATAAAATCGATATCATGTGGTCTAGGGTTTTTGCTATGTTTAACATTTTCAGGACAGGTGTTCAGTCAGGGTATAGGAAGGTAGGTAAGTTATCACTTATAATTTAATGTTTTTATCGCAAGTCGAGGTCAATTGGGTTTAGGTGATTTAACTGAGAGAACTGAACTAACTATAATTGAAGCTTTACAAACATTAACTGTTACTCGAATTGCAGCAGGAAATTGGCATTCAGTATGTTTGACTGGTAAGTTTAAGTACTTATTATTCTGTTCTTTAAAAAACCAGATACAGGAGACGTTTATACTTGGGGTTGGAATGAACATGGTCAATTAGGGCACAGATCCCTTGGAATCAGCAATAAATCAAATTCTATCACCGAGAAAGAACGGGAAAGTTGTGTATCTGTCTTGGCTCTTCCTGCTCCTGTAGATTTCCCTGATAACCTACCTATTTCACAAGTAACTTATTTTCTTAACGAATATTTTGTCGGCCGGTATAAAATTGTATGTTATTTCCGTGTTTGGTCTTTTTCCCAGTTTAGAGTCCACTTTATTTTTAGATTACTTTCCAGTCTATTTTAAGGTGAATTAATACATTCAAGCCTATTTATTCTGTCAACTACATCCTAAAACCATTTTGAAAAAGTGATTAGTTTGTATATTCTTTGTTCAAATGGGACTGAGATTATGTTAACTTCGAGGAACATCATTTTAAGGCAAATAGAATTTTACTTCCTATTATATACGTTGTTTTATTGATGAGTTTCACAAGAACAAACTTGTTACTTTGATTTAATTAACTGTTTATTTATAAATGCTATTCAAGACCCGAATTTTTTGCTGTCACATTGATCTGGATTGCTCATCATAATGGTGCTATCGAGCTGTATCGGGTGAAACACTCGTCCCTGTAGGTCCTATCATGTTAGGTTGATCGGTTACGGGAGGTGGTTAGGACTGAGAAATTTGGAGGTAAGGTGCACTGGTGGAGTTATGCTGCCAACTGCACTAAAGTGTGACAGAAGCAAGGTGTCTCGTTTATAATCCTAACCTCCCTAGTGATGCTACTTTCCCACTACACGATGATAGTGTTAGGAAAGGCCGATCACATAGGTCGTATACCTCAACTTGCACCAGGTTCATGTAATAAATGACATGCCAGATTTATTAGACTTAATAATTTTGGTCTTTATCTATCGCAAGCGAATTTATTAGTTTTGATTATCAGTTACAGTACATTACCCTGAGTACATGCCGTTTAGTATGGTCTAAATAGTATGTAATGAAATATTTTGTAGTCCCACAGCCTTATTCATATACTTTCTCTGAAGTCTGTTATCATGTTTAGAATCTCCAAGACCACGTATGGTTATGCAATATCTGTGTTTCATCCAATCAAATATTCTTAAAGCATAGCATTTCTATCTTTTTACTTCATTGCAGTTGTTGAGTATATTTCTTCCAGAATTTACGTATATGTCATTAACTGCCAAAATATCGTTTATATTTGATACATCCAGTTGTAAATTAGAACATATATGACCGAACATTATCGTTTCCAATTAGATCCTCATTAGGCTCTACTCTAATATACAATATTATTTATATGCATTTATGAAATTATTAAACCATTCAAAGAAGTTTATCAGTCAGTAATAACAGTGGAATAGATTATCTAAATAAACATGATAAGTAAAAAGTACAGACTGATAGTGTGGCGTGTTCTACTTATGTAGACATAAGTAGTATATGAAGTGAGTACTGAACAGAATGTCTGGCAGCAGAGAGACGAGAAGATCGAACAATAAAGAATGAAGAAAGAATGCAATTTGTATGAAAATTCAAGAACAAAGGAATTCTGAGTCATTTGAGACAATTGGTGAACATTATGCACATTAACGATTTAATATATGGTTGTTGGATTTTACTAACTAGTTCTGTAATTCGTTGTTAAATATATTTGATTGTCCCCACCTGTGTTCTGTTCACTACAATAGATGTTTTAGTTGTGACAAGAATATCATAGACCTGAACCCATGTTTCATTATGAGAAATAGGTCAGATGTTTTGCATACAATGTGTGGTAATTTATAACTAGATTAGAGTCTGTTTTCAATGGTTATTACTTCTTTATTGTTAATACTTTTTGCTAGATTGCCTGCGGTGGTTGTCACACAGTCTGTCTGACAGAAGATGGTATCCTGTTTTGTTTTGGCTGCAATAAATTTGGTCAGTTGGGATTTAACTCATCTATGGAAGCTGTGGATTCGCCAGTGAAACACCCACTCTTAACAGATCAACAATTGGATTCCAATATGGTCATATCATCTGTTTACTGTGGTTTATGGTCTACAACTCTCTATTTAAGCTCAAAAACCTGATGTTTGCACGAAATACTAATGATATTTTTTATGGAAATATTTTACATGAACAAATTTTCTATGACCAGTTAGAATTGAAGATAATTTATTAAAAAATTTTAACTGGAAATCATAAGTACCACTCATAGATGAAGTTCAATTATTTTGTAAAGAACATATTTTTAAAAACATTGGTGATTATTCTAACTTATGTAGTGATTTCTATATGAGTCAAAAGATGGTAGTTCAAAATATAATTATCCTATAAAGTAAATTTGCTTAAAAATGGTAGTTAATATTAAGTTGATATCAAAATAAACTGCGAAGACGGATTTGAGTAGTTCTCCGTTGCGTGAAATACGTGGTCTGCTCAGTAAGTGTAATGGCAACACAAGTATAAAATCTCATCACTGTGATAATAATATATGAGGTCATTCAATAAGTCTTTAAACTTAAAAGGTGTGAGCGAGAATACCACCAATCATTACTCGTTTACAAATCATTTATGGATAAAAGTATTCTCCCTTCACAGTGCGATTTAAAGGGTATATATGTTTAAACAAACTGGTTTTATGTGCTGACTAAAGGAAGAGAAAAAGTATAGGCCAGTACTACATTAGTTAACTCCCGACCGTAGCTGCTACCTTGACGTGGTGGTCGGGCTTGCCTATCGTGATGACCCAACCGAGCTATATTGGCTGGAACACATGTTCCTGCAGGTTCTACTATGCCAGGCAGGTCGATTGGAGAACGGTAAGACTAAAAGCAGCAACTCAAGGTCTGAGGGCGAAGTCGTACTGCTGACTGTACAGAGATGTGACAGCAGTAAGGTGTTTCCCTCGGACAACCAGCATCTGCAGCGATGCTGCCTTCCCACAAGGAAGGAAGGGGTTAGAAAAGATTGACCCTAAAAATGTCACCTTAATTATTTGAACACATAAATATTGGTAAAGGGGGGCACCAAATATATATGCGCCACACAAAACAATGATAATTTGAAGAGAAGGAGAAAAGAGAAAAAAAGTAATGAACGTGTGGAATTATAAAAAAGGGGAGTGAGAGAGAACAATGGTGGGGGAAACGGAAAGGTACAATCAGAAGAGATCTTTCAGTTAAGGAAGATACAACCACTTTTATGAAGAAAGTAAAAGAAGGTTACAGCACGATCGCCACTGGCTTCTATTCTGAGCCATATCTGATAACGTATCTAACCACTGCGTTACACCGTCTCTCGGACCCCAACCAGGGAGTCGTGAAGGACCAACAAAAGCTATCCCTTTGCAGCTTTCTTTCATACCACGACACCATGTCATATACTGACCACCTCTCCGCTTCTTCCAACCAGTCCCAGAGTCGGCAAATAATGCACGACGTGGAATTCTCTGGGACGACATTCGTAGAACATGTCCAAACCACCGAAGTCGGTGTTTCAAGATGGTGACACCAATTTCATTATCGTCTCTGTGACCGAACACTCGATGCCGAACCTCTGCATTACTGACATGGTGTTGCCACTGGATGCCAGCAATCCTTCGGAGACAGCGATGATCGAACACAGAGAGTCGTCTAACATCCTCAACTCGGAGAGGCCAGGTTTCACAAGCATACAGCAAAACTGCTCCCACCGTCGCGTTGTAGATCCGACCTTTTACAGCCAGACTAACATCACGAAGGCGCCGAAGATGGCCCAGATTGGCATAAGCCGCTCTGGCTTTCACTATACGTGCATTGATCTTATCACTCACACCACCACCAGCACTTATGCAGCTACCCAGATACACGAACTTCTCGACTACTTCAATCTGCTCACCATCCAGAGTGAGTACAGGATTAGAATCCTGCCAGTCTTGTAGAAGCACTTTGCACTTCGAAGGTGCAAAGCACATACCATACCTACGGACACTGATTGCCAACTGATTAAGTGCGGATTGCATAGCTTGGGCATTATCGCACAGTAAGACAATATCATCCGCATACTCAAGGTCGAGAAGTCTTTCTCCAGGCAACAGATCCACACCACCATTACTTACATTCATCAGAGCTGTTTCCAGAATGTCATCGATGGAAAAGTTGAAGAGGAATGGTGAGATTGGGCAACCCTGTCTAACCCCACTGCTCGAATGGAATAACGGAGAAAGGTGGTTGTATGCCCTCACTCTGCCTGAGGTGTTTGTGTATAGGGCTTTTAGGATGTTAATAAACTTCTCAGGCACACCCTTCTTCAATAGACAATCCCAGAGAACAGTTCTGTCCAACGAATCGAAGGCAGCCCTGATATCAACAAACACTTCTATTGTTGGCCTTTGATAAGTATGGCGGTGTTCTAACACTTGGCGGAGGGTGAAGATATGATCAATACGTCCTCGACCAGAACGAAACCCAGCCTGCTCCTCGCGAGTCAATCTTTCTCGGGTTCTGAACAACCTACGAAGTATAACGGAAGCCAATAACTTGGACGCAATCGGAAGTACACTTATCCCCCGATAGTTGTTACAGGAACGACGTGAACCCTTTTTAAAGATAGGGACAACTATCGACTCATTCCATGTCGTTGGTACACTCCCTAGTTCCCAGATCTTTGTAAACAACGTCGTCAGTCCCTTAGTCAGAAAGTCACCACCATCTTTAAAAAGAGCCGGAGGTAAGTCGTCTGGGTCCGGTGATTTGTAACGTTTCAAGAGTTGGAGTCCCTTGCGGACTTCCGCCTCATTTGGTGGATCAGTCGTCACCGGCCATGGAGGGCAGGATAGTCTGACCGATGTTGCCGGAGCAGCAGGCCAGTTGAACTGCCCTTCAAAGAATTCTGCCCATCGTCCAAGACGTCGATGGATGTTAGTGATTGGCGTTCCGTCATCCTTGCAGATTGTTTCGCTCACACCAGACTTCTTGCTGCCAGTGGCTCGGATGAGTTGGAAGAGCTTCCGGTAATTACCAGATGCAGTTGCTGCTTCCAACTCACTGGCACGCTCCGACCACCAGGCTTCTCGGTCCTTACGCAAGCTTTGCCCGATTTCATTACGTAACATCCTTCGTTTGTGGTCAAACTCACGGTCACCCGGAGTAGACCGACGGACTTCAATCAGTTGTAAGGAACCAGAAGAAACCCAGTGCTTGTAAGCGGGACGTTTCGCAAACCCACATCAGACTGTACCCGCCATTTTCATGGCATCATGCAATTGCAACCAATGCTCATCTATACTTTTCGGTGGAATGGTAGCTAGCCTAGAAGATAGCTCGATTCGGTACTTACTAGCAACAGAAGTTGCAGCCAGCTTGCTAACATCAATCCTGTGGTGGCGGTCACTTCGTTGTCCACTGAAAAGTAAGGTAAGATTGGCGCAGACCAGAGCATGATCAGATTCCAGATAGGTACTCCAAAAGGAGCGGCAGTCTTGTACACAACCGCGCCAGCGGTAGCTGATCGCGATGTGATCAATCTGAGTCCAGGCTTGAGATGCAGAAGAGGGACGCCAGGTGGCACATCGGCGATGACTGTGCCGAAAGTTAGTGCTAGCCAGAAACAGGTTGTGATCTGTGCATAGTTGCAGTAGACGTTCCTCGTTATCTGTCCTGCGACCAACGAGTCCCCATCGGCCACCTAAACGACTCTCTTCTGTGCCTAGACGCCCGACCTGAGCATTCAAGTCTCCAGCTAGTACTACAATATCTGTCGAACGCACTTTCTGGAGAAGAACAGTTAGCTGGTGGTAGAACTCGTCCTTGATTGCATCCGGGCTGCAATCTGTCAGGGCATAGGCGGAGATGACGAAAAGACATCGTTTCTCACGCCGATTTCTTCTCACCTTGATGGAACTTTCTAATCTAACAGCACATAACCGACTGTTAATGGGGATCCAGTCGACTAGTGCTGTCTCAGCTCTTGCGCTTAGTGCGACACCAACGCTAGCAAGACCAGACGAAGATGCCACAGGGTTCCCGGATAAACGCACATAAAACAAGCTTTTTGAAGCGACAGATGGAGAGCGAACTTGTAGTACTTCACCAGAGTCTTGAATACGGGTCTCGGATAGACAACACACATCAATATTAAGACTTTCCAAAGACATAGCCAGCCCTATCTGTTGTCCGACCTGCATAAGAGTGCGAACGTTGAAGGCAGCCAGTTTGAATGGTGTACGTGGTTTCAGAAAAACTGCTTCAGTATTCATATTCGGTGGTAACATACAATTTTCAATCAGGCAGTGACTCGAGTACGTTTAGATAAAGCTGAATTTTCACCATAGGTGAGCTGCTGTCTGAGTCGAAACGGATACAAAAAGTAGAAATAGGAGATAGTGAATAAATGACGTAGTAAATAATAATAATAATAATACCAGGCATTTCAATGTTAGTCGGAGAGAAACGAATATTTTCTATAAGCATATAGTTCATCATAGTTTTAGTGTGTGGGCTGAGATACTGTCCGGGTGCCCAAACCGAAGCAGGTGGTTGTCTTAGGGGGCCACATCCCGAGCCTTTGACTTAAAGGTCTAGTCCACAAGGCAGTGGAGCATCGTGAGGAGATGCAGTCCCATGGAAGCCGGTGACCAAAAGTTGGTTCATACGCCATTTGTTCCTTCGGGATACTGGAGCCCATGTGCACCATTGATTTGGGATCAGGTTAAAGCGCCGGACGTTCGCTTTTCGTCCTCTCATTTTCGTAAACAACACCCCCGCCACGAGAAGGTTGTGAGTAGGACTTCCCTGGCAGAGGCTGTATACGCGTGGCCGTGTGAGAGTATTTCGAGAGGGAGGGCGAACCCTCCCCGCTCTCGGCCATACCAGGGCATTTGGGGGCAAAAATGTCACCTTACCCCACGAACTTACGTCTCCAAACTACACGTAGGAGCTTTCAACGTCCGAACACTGTGCCAAATAGGACAACAGGCTTCCTTAGCTAAGACTTTAGAATCTCGCTCCACCGATGTGTGCTGCGTCTCCGAAACGCGCACACAGGACCCTAGTAGTGTCATTCATTTGACCGCATTATGTCAAAGTAACGAACCAACTCGATTTACGCTTCGTGTATCTGGAAGCTCTGATGCTGCTTCCCGTGGTTTCGCTGGCGTAGGTATAGCATTGAGTCCCAGGACAGAACTAACTCTCTTAGACTAGATCCCAGTAGACAGTCGTTTGTGTGCTGTCCGACTAAACAGAACAGTAAGGACTCGAAAAGATAGGGACACTCGTCGTTGCCTTTTCGTCGTCTCTGCTTACTCTCCCACTGACTGCAGCTCAGATGATATAAAAGATGAGTTTTACAGAAAGCTGTA